CTTTGGACAAGGAGGAGGGAAGGCTCTCCAGAAGGGGCAGCTCACTCCCACCTGGTCCTACCACATTCTTAAGAACAGGCCATGCATGATGTCTCCATTTCCATTCTCTAGGCACCAAACTCATGGCCAGTGTTTTGGAGTCAGGTCAAGCTGAACAGACAGCACAGCACCTCCTTTCTGCACCAGGCTGATGTCTAAAAGACTTTTTTTTTTGGTGTTCTCTCGTCATAACCTTTCTGGCGCTCTCCTGAAGTGCTCTGCACCAAGGGTAGCATTGTTAGATAGGATTACAGTAAAAATGAAGGCTGCTCTCAATCATGCATGAGCTCTTAGCTGAAGTTGAAGGAGGTGCAAGCACAGAAATGAAATCTCAATGCAGTCAGGGGCATTTTAAGGGGGCAAATAATAATGCATTTACCTATACAGGCAGGACCCCTTGTTTTCAAGAATTTCAAAGTCACAGAATTACCATTCCATGCATAATTTGAACCTAAAATCTGAGCAGTGATCACCTGCACCACGAGTCAAGTAAAAAGCCTAGAGCATAATGCATACCTGAGTCTGCTAGTAGCTGGAAAAAATAGTTCTGAAAGCTACATTTTAGAGACCCTCAGCATCTATTGGCCACAGAATATGGCAGCTTGCCGTGGTCAGACATGCACCACTTCATTACCACAGGAGGTGGTGGAGGCAGATAGCATAGCAATGTTCAAGGAGGGACTACACAAATCCATGGATGATAGTAGCTATTGAACAGAATAGTTGGAGATGTTCCCTCTGGCATCTCTAAACCAATTATGGTGGATGCCAGGAAGGGTACTGAATAGGGGACAGATCACACTAGAGATATCTGGTTCAGTGCTCTCCCTCCATAGCATCCACGTCTACCTAAGTTGGAGACAGAAACTGGGTTAGATGGACCATTGGTCTGACTGAGTATAGTACTTATATTTTTCTCTTGCCTCCTTACCCTGCTAGGATCTGCCTACTGCGCTGCAGCATCCACCACAAAGGGAGTTATTGGGACTGCTGTGCTTGCTTTCAGCATTTTTTTCTCTGGAGCCAACTTGAGCAGCATGTAGGGAAGAAGCCAAGAAGCTGGGTAGTTAGGACTGCAGGCTGATGGAAATAGCTTCCTGGAGAACAGCAAAGCAGCCTGGGGCAGAAGATCCAGGGAGATGAGGTGTCTTAAAATAGCTGTCCCCTCCCCTAGAACATGTGGAGAAGAAAGGGGATACCTGAGCTGTACCACCTAGTCAACAACCTGGAGCCAAGGCTTGGGGGAAAGCAAGTCAGGTTGCCTACAAAAGACCCACATTATCAAAAATAAATCCCTAAGCAATTTTACATCACATGAGTATATCCAGCTACGGCCCACAGTTTTGTGCTGGGGCAGGGGGGAGGGAAGAGGAGTAGTGTCCTGGGGCAGACTGCATTTTTGTGGTTGGGGAATGGAGGGGATACTGCCATGGCACTGAGGGACCACCGCTACAGAACTTGGCCCCACTGTGCTGTGGAGTACATGAAGCCTAGCATTCCAAAATG